CCAAGCAGGATAACCAGGAAAAGCTCAACAGAGTCRTAGAAACTGCCAGTTCCTTGGTCCTTAGCTGCTTTTCACTGACCTTCTCTCATTGCTCAAAAGCACCCAAAAATGTATTTGCCAGGACTACAGGTAAAAATGGAATTGAAGTCACAGCTTGGAAGCAATGGAGCTGCATGATGCTTCCTTTCCTATGGGAAAAGAGATCATATCACATGAGGGATACCTCATGTRAGTGGTGTCCTTACAGCTTCCCGAAATCTACCTTGCTTTGACACAGGACCTCCCACTACTCGCTCTTCTTCTTAAAACTGCATTGCGGCCTAACAAGAATTCCACAAGGGCTCTACTCAAACACGAAACCCAAGCAGACGGAGCGTAGACATCACAGAATCACAGAATGTTCAAGGTTGGAAGGGACCTCTAGAGATCATCAAGTCCAACCTTCCYGCTCAAGCAGGCACACCTACAGCATGTGGCACAGGGTGGCATCCAGGCGGGTTTTGAAGACCTCCAGAGTAGGAGACTCCACAATCCCCCTGGGCAGCCTGTTCCACTGCTCTGTCACCCTAACAGTAAAGAAGTTCCTCCTCATCTGGAGATGGAACTTCCTGTATTTCAGCTTATGCCCATTTCCCCTCGTCCTACCGCTGGCCACCAATTAGAAGAGCTTGTCCCCTTCTTCCCTGCATTCTCCCTTCATGAATTTATATATATGTTAATCATATCCCCTCTCGGCCTTCTCTTCTCCAGAGAAAACAGGCCCAACTCAGTGAAATCTGTGGGATCCATGTCCTCTCTGGAGCAGACTGCTGCAACACCTCCAAGGCCTTCTGCACAGATGGGACCTGCAAGCCTGGAGACCTCTCGAGAGCACTCCAATCTATAGCAAAGCTAATGGGACCTACAGGCCTTGAGACCTCTCGAGAGCATTCCACTCTGTAACAAAGCTAATCAGTTGCCCAGGTAAGACGCTCTTCTTCTGTTAATTTTCATGCTGCTCGAAGAATCAGCCAAATTGGTGGCCCAATGTCCTATTAACAATTTTCAGTGAAACTGCTGCGCCCTTAGAAACYGAAAACAGCAGATTTCCATGCATATTCAGGAAAAGGTAGGGAACATGTTGAACAAGTTTTTGAACAAATCTTCTGACCAAACACATCTGCTCCATTTAGACAGCTACAAACGTGGACAACTTGTCCATCAGAGCAAAGGTAATCATTGCTTAGCACTGGCCACTCCACGTTGGATCCCTAAACACTCAACAGATCAGCCCTGCGAGGCAAATGCCCTGTTTTATGAGAGTGTTTTTCAAATGCTCTGAAAGCTTCGAACACAATTTTGTCTGACTTAAGGACATATTTTTCTAATGCTATTATTTTATTGTTGATCCTGCCGGTGTCTGCTCAAGCCAAGTACTTCTGCATGTATGTTTTACCTGGGAACCTGAAAGCATTAGTTTTGTTTGTTATAAACTTTACAATATCCATAAATCAATGCCAATACCAATTATTTTCCAATATTTCAGGAAAAAAACCTTTCTCCTAAAAGAAATCACYGTGGAGGACTTGATATCAATTAGAYGATAAAACCTAAAAGAGTCCGTGGTGAAATAACTCAGGTTTGGACGCTTGCACAAGTCCCACATGCATAGGGAGGTTACATTTCCTTTGAAAAAACTGCAATGTGCAGGACATCAGAAAGCACAAAGATACTGCAGAGAGAAGCCAATGGATTTTGTAATAACTAAGCAAATTTAGCAGATTTGTGATCCACTAGGTATTTGCTGGATGGGAAATCAGCCAAAGCAGCTAGTTATGTGTTGCCTAGCTGCAGACTAATATGAATAGTTTCCCTTCAGGTAAATCATTTTCTATTACTTCTAAGTACCCCAGGAAAAATACTAATTGAAAACACGGTTCTAATACTGTCCAGCTGGAAAACATTAGCTTAGGATGGAACTAGCTTGACACTGCTGCCAACTGGCTGCACACAATGGAAAAGGGAATTAATCTCTTGCAGACAAGGCATCCCATTTTCCATTTCTCCTTTGTAACCGTCAAATACATTTGTTATTAACCAAAGGCTTTGATTCACACAGGGAAAGAAAAACATCAATGCATTTATGATAACACAAGTCTGGATTTCTTGTATAAAAATGAAAGCTTTCAAATTATTGACACAAGGAATGGTAGAGCTACTGGCTTGCGGTCCAAGAGCTTACTGACATTTCTCTTCACTCTCTCCTTGGCTAGCCATTAAGGGATAGATAAATAGATGAAGCAGAACAAATGTAAAAGAAAAAAGAAAGTGCCAATCCCATCTCCGATTCAGCCCAACCCACTTCCCTGCAGCATCTCAGGAGGGTCATTCCCCAGGTTCCTCAGAAGCCACAGGTGTCCTTCACTTGCTCTTCTCTCCAGGCTAATCCAACTCCGCTCAAAGACTACAGATTTACTTTATTTTTTAATACTTTCTTTCCCTGTGCAAATTCTACAAGACATAATTAAGGAAAAAGAAGAAAAAATGGAATTTCAGCTACTCTYCTTATCACGGAGAATCATCCTTGTTCTGCATCCAGGTCTATCAGCAGGTAYTTTACCTGCTGGCCCATCAGCCCACCTCCCTAATGGGCTTCAGAGGACTGTAAACACTTTTTGACTGAATTAGATTGCACCATTTCTGCAACAAAAAAATGAACTGCTTCGCTGACATCTCAGTCGAGAGGGTAATTAGCAGTTGGCAGCAATTTCTGGATCTGAAAAGAAAGGACATCTGTCCACCGTCTCTCTCATTATACTTAAAAATGGCTCCTCCGTCAGTCCTTGACTAGCTTCAGGTCAGGCAAGTGAGATGGGGACAACGATGGCAGGCGCAGGGAAGCAAGAAAATTCAGCTGAAAGCCTTAGAAGATGAAATCCTTTCTGCACCTCTATCTATGGAAACACTTCAAAAGTGAGAGTTCAATTCCTCTAATCAAAGAAGAAACTAAGAAGCAAACAAAAAGCAGGGAGATAGAGAGGAGAAAGTACACAACARAGCTCGAAAGAAAAAAAGGGGATGCAAGATGAACAAGAAGAAAAACAAGACCCCAGTCAGGAACTAAGAGATTCAAAGTCAAAATCTTCACTCCGATTTTGTAGACCAAATTTTCAGAGATCATAAAGTTCGGGGCAGCTTTGTTTGGGTCTGATCATACGGGAGAGGGGCTCTCTGTTAGCTTATTTCTAGAAAACTAATTAAGAAATGAAGGGAGGGAGAAGGGGAAGTCAGGTCAGCTGGTTTCATACARCTTTCAACTCATTGACACTTAGTTTTTCCATTTAAGTGGCAGGTACCGAGACAAACTTTTTCTCTCCCTCCTTCCCACCACATTAATGTCAATTTAGGTCAGACTCTGAAGTCTGCAAAAAGTTACAGAAGAATTTTAATAATTCATACCAGCTGGGACTTTTTAAACCGTGTTTCAAGTTCTACAAGGATTTTCTCTTCATACTGGCTGTAATCTTATTCCTTCAACATTACCTTTTTTTTGTTGTTTTAAGAGCAGTCCTACAGAAAAGTCAGCAACCTGTCTTTTTTTTCCCCCCTGCTCTTAAGACYAACCAAACCAGGAGGAACGTGGTAATTAAGTGTGTGGTTCATRGTTCAATAGGTCAAAAGATGAAAGCAAGCAACATCTTTATAAATATCCTGATGACATCCCAATGATGATGTGATCCCATGTGATGATCCCATCACCCTGCTCCACCAGTATTTATATTGAGTATGTTGCTGCTGTATAACCCTTAAAATGCTTTAACTGTTGAACCAACAGCTTTAAAGCCTCTAGGCAACACGTAATTCACCCAAAAGACATCGGTCCAAAATGGCAACTTCCCAAAGATGCCTCCATCCTGATGGTAACATCCATAAGCATAYATGCTGAGGCAAGGAAGCTCATGCTCATTTGCTGGACCACAGCCCAGCTTTACAAGCACACACCTCAAATGAGGTCTTGGTGAATCATTAGCAGCTAATGATTCTCAATATCTATTATGGCCAAAAGAAAATACAGAAATTATATTAAAAAAAAAAAAAAAAGAGGAAAAAGGAGTGCACTGGGTTCAAATGGAAATCAAGGGCTGCCATCACCCAAAACGTCCTAGGGAGGCCCCTGGGGCACATCAGCTCATTGGTCCCATCACTCCAGTAACCCAAATTAACGTTTGCCTTCGCAAATTTTGCTTTCTTTCCATGCACTGGGGTTCATATGTGCAAAAAGGGGACAGAATATCCTGACTTCAGAGAGAGCTGTARCGATGATTAATCTGTGGAGCACTCCTACAGGGGCAACCACAGGGATCAACCATCTTAGGACAAAAGGGTCTCAGGTTCTTAACTTTTCTTTTAGCATACAAGTCTRCTAGTGAAAGCATCACAATAAACCCCATCTTTTGATTTGCTCTTCTCTTTTTAAACATCGTTTTCCTAAGCCTACTACGTGCTGTGTCCAAGGACACATCAGGTTGGTGTAAGGCAACGATTTCTCCATGCTATTTGTGCATCGCAAGACACAGCAGAACATATTCATGTAGAGAACTATGTTCATACTGTCACAGCACTCACACAAAGACATACAATTATATCTCTGCTTTGAGAGAGCGCAGAAAACTGGTTTTCTATATGCAGCCCCTCTAGCTATTTGTCACCAAATGCGATGTAAAACTGCTGTGTAAAACTGCATTCTTCTCTATTACAAAGCATAAAAACTAACAAGGCAAGTGGAAAAAAAGAGTCTTACTCTACAAACAATATAACTTTTATCCCAGCCCCAAAGATGTAAAGGCATGGCAGAAGGGATAAAATTAAGTGGAAACATGATTTGACGGCTCTCCTGGGCCCAGACTTTCTTACAGGCACATGACAARGAGTGGACTTTGCGTTGCTGCGTTAAGCACCATTTAAAAACCAGCATCGGTGACTAAGTGGGACGAGGACTGTCCGAAAGCGCCGGCTCTCACCTTGACGCTTCCTCCAATGAGATCAGGCGGTTCCTCATCTGTTTCTAAGGCAACGTTGATGGAGGCAAAGGGGCGACTTGCCATCTGTTGCATCTCACGCAGCAGTTGCTAATTTAATAAACAGAAAAATATTATCACCACGTTGCTACAGCACGAGGAGGAGAAAATATACATTAGAAAGGTTTTAGCCAGTATAAAGGTATAGAAATGAATAAGGAAAAATAATCTCCTGGGGTTTTAACAGGTTAAAAGGTACAAAAAGATCATTGTAGACAACCCCATCATAACAGCGTAACAAGTTGGGACTTATTAGCCCAATTCAGCTATCAAATAAACACATCTGCTTACGTTTCCATGAAGCAGTAGCTCCTCAAGTTGGGAYAACCTAGTTGCTGGTCACAGAAGGTCATCTAGTGAACACCCTGAATACRCAGGGTCACCTAGAGCACGTGGCACAGGACTGTGTCCAAGAGGGTTTTAAAGATCTCCAGAGAAGGAGACTCCACAGCCTCTCTGGGCAGCCTGTTCCAGGGCTCTGTCACCCTCTCTGTTAGGAAATTTTTCCTTAAGTTCTTGGGGAACTTTTGGTGCTTCAGTTTGTGGCCGTTTCCTCTAGTCCTGTCGCTGGCCACCACTGAAAAGAGGCCACCCCCTCCTCCTCACTGCCTCCCTTGAGGTATTTATACAYGCTGATCAGGTCCCCCCTCAGCCTCCTCTTCTCCAGGCTGAACAGACCCAGCTCTCTCAGCCTTTGCTCATAGGGCAGATGTTCCAGGCCCCTGATCATCCTSGTAGCCCTGCGCTGGACTCTCTCCAGCAGCTCCACATCCCTCTTGTCCTGSGGAGCCCAGAACTGGACACCATCTCCAGATCATCTCTCTGTGCGACATGAGACAACTTGACAAGCTTTCCAATACGAGAAACCTCCCTTCCTAGCTGGCCATGCTCGAAAGAGCATTTCCCATTTAGCGGAGGCCATGCTCCTCCTGCGTGTCCAGGGCTTATTCCTACTGCTAAACGTGGGCCTCACAACCTGCTGCTGGATGCAGAAGCCCTAACCCTAATTCTCAGAAGCAACGGGTGGGATACAGCTCTCTGACCTTATTTAATAAGGGAAGAGACATTGTACATCTGGTTTAAAAAAATCAAAAAAATCAAAACAAACAAAAAATCCCAGAGCACTTGCTGCTTCCCTCAAGTGCCGTGTATTGATTAGACCCTTCAGTTCCCATGCTGCAGAACACATAGCATTACCCACTTACCATTACTACTTAACCGGGGCACTGCTAGTTATGCTGTTTYCTTCTCTAAGCTAGAATTAGATACTGCCAAATGCCCTAGGTACTTACTCCCCCTGTCCTTTTAAGATAGGGCTTACAATTACCAAATTACCCAATTTGACTATTTGTAGCAGCAAAAAGGTGCTAAAAACCACAAAATGCCCTGCGCCTCCAGCGTGAAGAATCTAGGGAACATTCACAGTACAYAAGAAGGAAGAAGACACTATCCAGAGTGCTCCTGCTTTGAGCAAAACTAAGTATATCATCATTTTCTGCAATTCATGAGCCTTTTGAATTCTTCTCTCTGTCAGGTCACCTTTTGCTCTTTTTTTTTTCTTTTCTTTTTTTTTGTGCAGAAAATGGAGACACTTTCTCTCTAACCCTGAAGTTCAGGCGAGGTGGCAGGGATGCACGACAGCATCGACCTAACCCAGCCTGGGTTCATCTACAGCTTGTAGGAGTCTCAGGATGAGAATACATAAAATTCTACTGGCTTCAGTAAAGATCGAGTTTTGCTTAATCTCTGAAAGATTGGAGGAAAAAAAAAAAAAAGAGTATTTCACAGCAGATTGTAGATACTGTCACAGAGCAAAAAAAAAAGAAAAAAAAAAAGCTCTAACCCAGTAAATTCATACAAACGGAGCTGTAGTAAGCATTTGCAAGCAAACTTGTGTGGACCTCACACTTGGGCAAAAGAACTCAAGGAGCTTTAGCATATTTAAAGCACTCCAGCAGATTGCAAACTAAAGCAAGCGTGAAACAGATTGCCGGGTTGTTGTTCCCGCAATTGTCCCCTTCAGCTATCATAAAGCGCTTTGTTTAATGGCTATAAAATCAAAGAACAAGCTGTCCTGATGAAGATGTCCACAAGACTTGCAAACTAGGAGCTATTAGCTCGTCGGAGCAAGTTTAGTTTACGAAAGCAAACGTGCAATTCGGCAACGTGACACCTTCTTGAGTCAAGGGGAGCTTCAAGAAATAAAATTCTGAGCAGTGTCGGGTGCTACGATACCAGTGCCAGGCAAAGCAATGCTGAGCAAGACGTTATTGTCAAAAAAGACTCCAAAAACAAACTTGAAAAAGCTTTGATTTCTAAATCACACACTTAATAGGAAATCCTAGAATAGTGTTAATCTGTTTAAAAGGGATCTTAAAGGCCTGATGTCTGACAGTCTTACAATAAAATACCTAAAGGGCGTGTGCTGAAACGCACCCTGGGCATTTAGCGTTGCGGTAAGCACAGTCTTAAAATGAGAACTGGCACAACTTTCATTTGCATGCATTTTTTTTTCCTGCTTCTGCTGCCACTATCGGGAGAAAAGCTCCTTTCAAGAATTACAAGTCAGAGCAATCAAAGGCGGAGAAGTGCGGAAACAAAGCCCGGAGGTTCTGCTGCAACCAGACGCTGACGGTACCTGACAATAAATAATGCAGACAGTACATGGCGGAGAGGCGAGAAAAAGGGAAAGCAAAGAGGAGGGAAGATGACAGAGGTTGCTCATCTCATAGCGCCCAGGGACTGCAGGTGCAGATCCGGGAGCAAACACTGCAGAAAAGCAGCGTTTCTCTCAATTCACATGCGTGGAGCGACGGGTAAGCCCGGAGGAATCCTGCGCTGCTGCTGCCAGAGCAGCGAGTGCGGGAATTTAGCGAAACGGGTCACTTTTCTTGCCCCGGCTCTCATGCAAAAGAAAAACAGCCATTCGGGTTACTGGGTTAATTGATTAATATTAGCCACGGCGTGTTTTCTGACACGAAGACCTTGACCGTTTTGTTCACAGTAATAAAGCAGTCACTGTTTTGTGTGCAACTCCCCAGCTACCATCAATCTAAAGCAGTGTCCCTCCAGAGCCTGTTCTATGAGCACRGGAATCCGGCACCTTTTGGGATTGGGATAGGGTGTCTTCAGTCACGGAAGGATGCCCATTTATTTTATTTATCAGCTTTCCTTTTAATGTAGAGTGACAGAGAAGCAAATAGGATCTCACGAGGCAGGAAGCAAGCTATTCCCAGTGGACAGGACACATTAATGCCATGGTATGAAACACYACCCAGATACCACCAGGAAAGCCTCAGACCATTTGCCCAGGTCAAGGGAGGTGAATTTCCTCCTGAATTGACTTTCTGTRGCTGTATTTGGTGCAGTGGGCCAAAACCCAAAGAGCTTCCCGATGTGGAGATGAGCCTCAACACAAGGAAAAAAGAACAGCTCCAAGATCTTGGAGAGAGGGAAAATGGAAAGATAATAGAACACACATCTGTTTGTCTCCTTATTTAATATGTATAAAATAAAAGGTTTGAGGAGRGAACAGACTACACAGCGCTTTCTGCATGCAGCTCTTCCATGCCCAGCTGCTGGACGTGCCCACCTCCAGCAGGGATTCGGGCACCTGGTGGCCTCCCTCGCCAGCCAAGGCCAAACTGAGGGTGACACTAAAACAACAATGCCGTCTCCTTCTTCCAGACCAATTCTTCTCASGCTGGCAGCTCTGTAGGGCACTCAAGTGAGTCATTCCCTGCACACATCCCCTCGAAGACGCAACGCGCTACATCAAGCACACAATCTCCTCCGGTGCCAAAAGGTCTCCCTGCCTACGCTGAGGATGCATCAACAAGGGCTAATAAAATTCCGGCAGGGAGGTTTATTAACTCTGCACTCGAGGTGGTCCCACTGCGGTCAAGGGGACAGACAGCAGAGCCTTCCTTCCAAAACCACGGTCAACATYCCCACGGCTGCAATTGCACCAGGGCACTTCCATGCACTCCAATTGTACCGGGGCACAATTCCATGGAGCTGGCATTAACCCATGGTCTGGCAGCACCTGTTTATTAATAAGAAATAAAATCTAACCTGATGGAAAAACCCTCCATTTTATATTTTAGTTACATGGCTACCTTGGGGGAAGGAGGAGAAATCAAGGGAGCTGCCTACAGAAWAAAAAGAGGTACCCCAGACCCCTCTCAAACATCTAAGATGTAAATACTCCACAAGGATGAGCCACCCTGTTCCAGAAATAAGTGAATTAAAGCGTTTAGCCACAATTATATTAACTCTCATGTAAGTCAACAAACAAACAATTTTCTCTGACACTTCCATCATCACTGTAAATTAAGTTTTTAAGCCCCTAGAGCAGTGCACATATTAATGGCAGCTAATTAGTTTTGCAACCGACTTTGCAGGCTATGCTGGAAAAAAAAAGAAAAAAAAACAAAAAAAAGAAACACCAAAAAAAAAAAAAAAGACTCACAGAGGAGGAGGGAATTAATGTTCAAATGCTTCTCAACAGGCATTTCCACACTTCAAAACTACAACAAACCAGAAAGCAAAGCTGCTGGGAACTCGCCTCATGCTGAAATGACAGAACATATTTAATCCAGGGCTGATTAAGATAAGTAAGTTACTTATCATAATCATGCCCAGTGGGAGGGCAGAGAGAGCTGACCTTTAATAAGAATCCTAGATACCGTTTGTGAAAAGAAAGAAAAATAAAAAAATAGGGGAAAAAGTCTACAGTCCATGTCCAATGTCCATACAGACTGGAAAATCTATCAGTAGGAGCTAGTTGCACAATAGCAGAAATCACCTTTGATTGACTAGAGCTCTTTTGGTGTAATTACACAACGCTCGTTCTCGCTGATTTTTCCAAAGAGCTAAATTAGACACCTGCACCCTTGATTCCTGCTGACGCAGAGAAAGACCCAGGAGTCTGAAATTGCAGCAACTCTAATGCACACAGTTAAGAGTGACCTCTCTTAGTGCCGGTCTATCCCAGCACTGCCCCAAATATTGGACCTCGGCTCTCCRTGGGATATAATAGACATAGCTCCAGCTTCTTTCTTAATATTCTACAGCGGCTCTACCCTTCCAACTTGGGTGGAAACACCTTGGAAAGAGCAGGGGGTTCAGTTTGGTGCCCACATCACATTGGGGATTGTCACCCTGATCTGTGGGACGCAGCCGTAGCGCAGCCAGGAACAGCAGCTGGAGCATCCGCACGTTCAAGCASAAGGGAGCTCAATTAGGCATGGAATGACCGGAGCGTGTTCAAGCAAAAACGGCCCATCGCTTCCCCTAAGCTGGAATCTCCTGTCAGCTTTAATTTTTCGGCTGTTTTCTCTCTTTGGGGCATCTCTCATTTCTGCTGTGATTTCCTTGAGGTGGGGACCAAAGTCAAAGGGATCATTGCRGAGAGCACTCAAGTGCCTGGACTTTGGAAAAAGCCTACAGGCCACTACAAGTTGGTTCCATTCATGGGTTTTAAAACTAGGGAGAGCAGAAAAAGCCACGGTTATTGGATCTGACCTCTTGTACAATGCAAGCCACAGGAGCTCGCCACATGATTTCTACAAAGATATTACTTGAATCAATGTTAAGAAAGATCCTTCCAAAAGGATACATTCAAATTCCAATTTGAGATCCATCTTTTTAAAACAAGTCATTGCCAATGTTAAACTTGTCATTTAAAAAAATAGAAAAAAACCACAAGCATTTCCTTAAGTCTTTTACCCTCAGTCCCAGATCCTGGGGGCTATGTCTTTGGCAGATTATTTACAATATTTCTATACTGCCAAGAATCTTCTCTGATTTTTTATCCACAGTCAGTCACATTAAATCTCAGTGTGTTCTCTTCAGGATAAATTGAGTAATTTGTGATTACTTTAACCTGTCCCTTAACTCTTGGATCACAAATTGATCTTGCATTTTCCTGAACCATCTGCAACATCCAGAACAGTGCAGAGCTCAGGGTGGACACACCTTCCTATCGTCATCCCAGTACATTACACACAACACTTAATGCTATGCTCTTGGATATGACTTCATTTACATATCCAGGATCTGGGAATTAACATGCAGCACTTAGCTGTGCAGTTGAGTGTGCTGATCTCCTTCTCTAGACCTCCGTAGACATCATCCACTTGTGACGATTCTCGCTCTTCCAGCTGATGCATTATCTACAAACTACACCAAGGGTAAGCTAATTTTTTTTCCCCTTCAACTGACCAGTTCTGAACTCTGTTGCAAAACAGCCCAGAAACACAAAATACTGCCTGCTGGGAGCTTGAGGAACACAGTAGAGAAGTTCTGCACTAGCTTCTCTGGTTTCTCACATCCCCCTGGCTGAGCAACTGTGTCTGACCACTACCAGACACGGGCTAATGAAGGGGACAGATTTGCAGCCTGACCTTTCACGTTCTAACACAGGGCCAACATCAGATCCTTCCAAAATACTGCCAGAGATCTTCATGCTGCAAGGAAGATTCTGATTTACACTTACAGTTTTAAGACATTCCAATTCTGAATCCTTTTATTTAACAGGATACCCTAAATCAGAGTCTTAAAGACAAGACACGAGATGAACGAAATACTAACAGGTGAGAGCTGGAAGGGGAAGCAAATTGAGGCAGAGCAATAAATAACACACAGTAAAAATTCCCTTGGAAATCCTTTGCCCTAGCAATGAATGCAGAGAGCTGCTTGCCTAAACGGCATTTGGTGTTCATGGACAGATGGGGACTGCGAAGCCAAACTGCAAAGAGCTGTTAAAGCCAAGAGACCCAGTGTAGACACAAGTGCTGCTACATTCTGAGTAAATTGTGAAGAACGATGATGTTTAGTCAAGGAGGTGGTGGATAATCCCTGTAGTAAATCAATACACAAACCCCCATCCTGCATAAATTTTGGCAGAACAGGCAGAGAAGAGGAGGTCCAGTCCTGGGCTGCACTAGATGATCTCCAAAGGTCCCTTCCAATCTTGATGACTCTGCGAGTCTGGAAGGTCTAGACAAGAATGGAGGCAAGATGTAGACAATTTTATTGATGTTAAAGGTTGGGTTCAGTTCTAGAGACCTAAATTTCGACACCAATTCATGCTGGTGCTCCCAGCACAGCAAACGGGGCATGGAGGGCAACTCGGCTCCCCCTCACACGTGTGGCCAGCCAAATTGCTCTCCACACTCACAGGAGCTATTTCTTGGCAGAAGCCAAGGRGTAGGAAGCCAGCTGAGGGCGAATAGACTCAAATTTGGATGCTAAAATGGAATAAGAGGACAAAAAATTCAAAACAGCAGATGGGTATACTAAATTTATAATGCCAGTCTCGTATTTTGTGTGTTATTCTCTATTTACCACCTTGATGCGTCTTAACATGTCATTTTCCGGAGACAAGATGGAAAGATTTCCCATTCCTATTTCCTAATGTCACTCACTTTGTCCTAAGCCTCTTATAAAAGCTGCCTTTTTATCTCCATTTTCCTCTTTAAGATGTCTACAGATATTTAAACATGGTGCTCACTGGAGAGAGAATAAATACACAATTTACTCTCCCATCTCCTCCCTGCCCTATATGACATAAATTGCTCCCAGATTTACTTCAGGTCGAGTCTCGCACTCTGCAAGGCCCGCACTTTTGCTCAGTGCTCATTTTTACTGGAACTATGCATTCTGCACACCCAAAAGACACCTTTTGGCCAGAAAACTGAGGATCAACAGCACCGACATACATGGGCAGCTGGTCAAATGGAATTAGCTCTAGCAAGAAAGAAAACGTGACGAAAATCTTTTAATTGTCACATGTCTTATGAGATCTAGAGGTAGATTCTCAATTTGCAGATCAATGATTTCTCACGAAGGAGTAGTACAAATTAATTTCAGTTCAACCAAACGGTTCTGCTATGTTTTCCCTACCCCATTCCACAACCCAACAGGTTAAGCCCAGCTGTACCATTTCTCCCAACATGTTTTCCAAACCCAAATGGGTTGAATACCTCTGATTACTCGATCTGTGACCCAAGGCCCTTGCAAAGGAAATGGAGAAAAAAGAAAAGAACAACCATCTCCAAAATATGGAAGAAAGGAAAAATGTAAGAGTCACATGCTCCAAAACCATCTTTAGAACAGCAGAAGGTCAATTCATGAGGACACTTTAAAACCTGCAGTGTAAGAAATGGCTATTAATCATTATTTTAGCTACTAAAGCTTGAAGGAAGTCTGACTTAAAAACCTGACTTAAAAAACAAACTAACAAAACCCCACCACTTTGAAAGCTATAAAAACGTGTTAAATATTACCAAAAAGTCAAAGAATTTGGGGGTTGTCTTTTGCCTCTGGAGACGATCTCTGTTAATGCAAAATATGTAATAAATGGCATGGCAAAGATTTAAAAGTTTCCTCATCTTTTATAACCATTTCTAACAGAAGAAGAATGGAGTAGCACAGACCTATGAACTACGAGACAGATTTATAGTGTTTTACACTGAAATAAAGTCCTAGTAAATTTTCATACARTAAGACAGCCTACATAATGAGGAATAAAATTCCTCGTTCCATTAATATATTCCCWGGGCGTTTTCCAAATATGAGTGGCACATAATACACCGTACACACAATTTGCAGATGATCTGCTACAAATGAGTGTTCTGCTTTCACACGAACATTTTGATACTACTTAAAGAGTTTAGGGGAAAAAAACCTAACTTCATTACAAAGGCTTTGCTTGATGCAATGAAGGTGTAAGGCAAATATTGATGAAAGACAGTAATCTCCCAGGAGGAGAATGTTAYGATGAACTGTCTCTCAATTAGCTGCACCTGTGAATTGGGTTTAAAAGATTAACACACGCYAACACCAACTGACCCTGTAATTCCAATTAATTTCCTCAAAGATGCATCAGACTGAGAGTAACTTCATTCAGAGAGATKTTTCATTTAAGCTGCTGCTCAAGTGTTTTCCACTGAGATGCCGACTCCACCTACATTTTTTATATGTTTTTAGATAACTTTTTATCCTGGGAGCCAGGGAAGTGCCACCACTCCCCCAACAGGGAAGTATGCTGATTCTATCTTAATTCATTGCCAAAAAAAAGTGGGTGATAAGGGGAAGTTAAAAAAAAAAAAAAATTCTATTCTATAAAAAAATGTAATTCTAGTMCAAATCTATTTAGCTTCAGAGAATATGGAAAACCTCAGACACTTACATACTTTGAATACTTTGGGCTATCTATTGGGAATGGGCATAACTCAGCCTGCAAGCCCTTAGCAGATGATACTCGGTCTCAGATGAGGGGCACCCACCTGCACAGACATTTTTATATGCTATAATTTATCAAATAAAGAGAAAAAAAACAAGTGTAGGAGCTGGTATGGTTCGTGGCTAGGTGAAAAGGGCAAAGCTTTGTCACTGCAGTAGCCTTTTTGAGATGTAAACCTATAGTTTTCCAAATCCTGGTTGGCTTCACTTGCCTTTTTCTTATGCTACCGTGCATCTCTCAAACAACTACTGTAAGCTTTTCATTTAAATTAGGGATAGTTTCTTTTCAAAAGATTAAAGCAGTAGCTAATGTAGTTCAGAGCCTCAGCTTAGAAATTTCATCTTTCCAAASAGATCAAAAGAATCGCCTGATCTACACTGGTTTCCTATTTAAATGATCCAGAATCAGAGCCCTGGCAGCACAGGACAYTCACCCCTATTTTTCCTGCTTCATGGAAACTGCAGCATCAGGATACTAAAGCAGCATCATTTGTCACCAAAACGGTAATCAAAAGTACATTATTATAAATCCCTAAACAGAAGCATTTGTAGATTAGTGGAGCTTATCCTTAACCGAAGGTTAATACGATGCATATGTGAATAAATACATAAAAGAGAAGAACTATAAAAAAGTCATTTAAAAGATAGCATTCAGTTTTGTCATTTCAACCTCTCTCCGTCGTGATGCCCAGCAACTTTGCTTAATCTTCCACACCACGGCTGCCACCAGGAGCAAAGACAGGAAACAACTGTAAAGGAGAAAAAGAAAAAAAAAAAAAGAAAGAAAAATCTTTTACTGCCCTTGTCCATAACGTATCAGCGGCTGAAAACTCTAGCAAATGAAGAGTTAGACTGCAAGTTCATATGATACTTAGAGGTACTTTGATGGACAATGATACAGGCGAGCAAAATGTTTTGCACAGTTCAGTGCTTGTGACACCGGGCGAGGAAAAATGCACATCTATTTTTGGAGAAAACTGCCGTTCCCAAGTTACCTCTTTGACCTCCTCATACTACGCTAGGAAATTTCACTAGGAAATCAGAATACTAAGGCAGAAACGTGTAATCAAATTGGAGAAAAAAAAAAAGAAAAAAAGAAAGAAGAGCCCCAAAACACAGGGTCACAGGACTGACCCTCTCTGGCTGTATTTAACGCAAGAGAGCGTGAGGTGCCACTGGAGGGGTGTCTGGGACCTTCTTGAATTGTGGAGTTGCTCGTATTGAACTCCAAAGTGGGGATTTGCCAAGTGTTGAGAATTTATTAGAGGTTATAACAAAGCTAACAGTACAGCAATGCTAGACATATAACAGTATTTAGAATATATATCCATATCAGAGCTCTGTAGTTACGGATGCATGATACAACGACCGCTCTGGTTCCTGATGGAGCGCCTCTCCAGTCTTATTTTCCCCAGCCTCTCCTTAGGGTCCTGCTGAGCGTCAGCCCCCAGCCCCATGCACGAACAGCCTTTGCTCCTCACATCCTTTTTTTCCAAAACCACAGGTTTKGGGTTTTGCACAGCAGTCCTGCAGAAAGCCTCTCCTCTGGAGCACCATGYTGATGGATGATGTAGAAGCCAACATCTACAAACCTCCTTCCTCATGCTCTAGCGTATACTTAGAGAGTACTTAAAGGGAGGKTAAGAAATAAGTCACCTCTTCTTGCCAAAGTGCTCTAAGTCAACCGCTGTGCTCTGTACCTTTGAATTGAGGTTTCTTTTAAACAGAGAGCCAGTGCGCCTCCTTCCCTCCTTCCAAGGTCTCTTTCATTCCCACCAGCACAGATGGCACAAAGCTTGACCTGTGGCATCCCATTCCTCGTTTTAAAGGGCAAAAAAACGCATTTAATCCCTCTCCTCAGTTGCTACTGGACGGCATAGGAGGGCTCCTAACAAAGCCATGCTGGAAAGCAGCTATGTCAGGTGAACAACAGCACCCACTCAATACTCCCTGCCCTCTAAAACAAGCTCAGTCCTCCCTCGAGACACAGTTCCTCTTGGACCACTAAACCTCCTCGTGTTCTCAAACTACTCCATGGTTTTCCCCCACGACAACACCTGAACCYCCCCATCCAAACATCTGCAAACTCTGATAGAGGCTGCTTCTGGGGTGGAAGGTCCACCGAGGAGGACCTAAAGACCACAACTTCYGATGCCCACAGGTGTCTCATCCCCCTTTTTCATAAAGGTCATGCTATTTATGAAATGTATATCTATCTATATGAGATGTTCCGATGCCAAGAGTGTTTAGCAGTGCAGACACAGACTGCTCACGAGGGTCCCAAAACAGCCCTACGGGCAATTAATTTACTAGTGCAGACACAGACGAAGAGGCTGACACCACTTCTTGGACATCTTCTCTCGCAAGGCAATTGCTCCTGATTATATGTCATTACCCACAGCCTCTACATCATCAAAACTGCATGGGATCAGCCACTGAACACTTCAGCAGCAGTCTGTGATTATATTTTTTCTGACATGGATGTGTACAAAAATATTCCTTACTGTCCTACTCCAGGTACAAATAAAAGGTGACACTTGTGACTTCAGCATTAAAATGTCCGCACAGCTTTTGAAGACACCTATGATGCCTATTTCTTCGCAAATTTAAGCAGGATCACAAAGAAATTTGTTCTGCCTTTTTCATTTTATGAGACGTGTGCTCCAAGTCTCTTCTCTCATCTTCTACCTAAATATTAAAAGCTGGTATTAGTTCACTGCAAAAGCACGGGCATCTTTCTATGACTATAAACAGTTCAGTCAAAGGCCATATATTCCTTTTTGAGGAGATTACCACTGAGTTTTGTAGTAAAAACAATCTCCTTCCTGCTGTGCCATGAGTTCTGCATATACAACAAATCTTGCATTAGCATTTGGCTAAAATAGTGAAAATGCATTAGAGAAAATTCAGGATTTCACCATTTGCCCCATCCTTTCTGATGCAACCTACTGCTGAATCGAGTGAAGAGCATGAGTAGAGCATCCCTGTCACCTGCAAAGAGTATTTTGCTTTGACTAGATGGATCTTCACTTGCACCACACTCCCATGAACACAAATGAATGATGGGACAGCAAAATTTTCATCTTGGGACCCCCTGCTTGTTTCCTAGCACAAATGCCACCTCAAAGAAACTTTGAGTCTARGGCACAACATTGGCTTTATCTAGGAGACCTAAATATGACAGTGCTGCCTGAAGAGAAGCGAAAAACAAAAATAATCAAAGCCAAACCAGCACAGCTAAGACCACAAGCTCATTCTTTGTCTTTTGTCACTCTTTGGTTTTTCTGTGAGATCTTAATCTCACTGTACAAATGAAGGATGGAGACACAAAATTAACTCTTCAAGGCTGTGGGGAGAAGTGTCCCGGACTCAACATTTAATTTGACCACGAAAGCAAGAATATTTGAAGTATCTTCAGGAGTCCCCAAGATGGGCTACCAAACCAATGCAAACGCTTGCTAACTGCTGGACAATTACACTCCCAATGTCATTTGCGTGGGAATTTTCATCTCAGGATAAAACATAGGGAACAGCTACTATTGTGGCTTATTAATTTTGTCCCTTCATTCTTGGAAACAAGATGGAAGAGGGAAAGAGCCACATGTTTCCCCAGCCTAGCTGCGCTATGTCTATGGACAACTGCTGTTCATGGGCCATGGTAAGTTTGGGGCCATGGGCAGCAGGGAAATGTACAGTGAAGGAGATCTTCACCTTGCTGCAGGTTACCATTACAAAACATGTAGTTTTTACCCAATTCCCTTTTGGAAATACATGTTAGACAAGTCTCTGTGAAACCACAGTCCRTCATTGCTTCTTGTCTCACTTCTGGCACCACAGCCAAGACTTGCTGGAGGAATCAGAGAGAGGAATTAGCAATTAAGGGCCAATAAGTAACCCTTCTAAAACACTCAATGCCTTCTGCTTTGGAGGAACGGCATCATAAAACATCATGCTGTCACAAGGAGGCAGCAAACACTCATGAAAGCTATAGAGTCACTAAGGAAACACATCTCCCCTCTTACACTACCACTCCTTGGCAGCACTTCGGGAGCGATCAAACGCAGGGTTGGCTGAACGTGCTGCCATGCATCACCCGCCGGGAGAGCCCCAGGGCTCCCAAGATCCATCTCTTGGGTTTACTCAACCTAAATGATCCAGAAACAACTTTTAAGACCTCTCCTTGTGTCAGCTACTTTAAAGCAGCTTTAATCCATCCCTCCTTACAGAAAGCAGTCGTATAAACACAGCAGCACTGGAAGGAAAGGGCTCCTCGTAGTGACAGACATGTCAAAAAATGCTTTGAAGCAGGAGCCCACTGGTTGCAATATCCTAGATGGATGTGCACTGTTCCCCAATGCCTCTCAGATGCCTCCTTCTGCCTGCCAGGAATACACAACCATGCCAAAATGGCTTGAAAAATAACCCTCACTGCAGGATCTGTTTTGTCTTCTTCTATTTCTTTCTGCTTCAAAYTGTGTGTCTACTAAGAGTCTCCTTTGTCCTTGAAGCCATCAAGGACCCATCACTTAAGCCCTATCTCTACTCTCGCACCCACCTCAACGCTTTAGTTGCTTTTTCCCCTCAAGAAAAAGGTGAAAGGGAAGAAAACGTTCTTCTATTCTTAAGCATCCTGGCATAGCCCCACTTCTGGTAACCGCACCTGAACCATCACCATCACCTATGTGACTTCCATCTTCCCAAGCCCAGGCACTCTAAGTGTCATCTACAATTTACATCAGGTTGGGTTTTTGGGGTTTTTTTTGGCTCTTTAATGATTTATGAATTCTTAACTATTTGTTACATCACGTATGCCTAAAAATCATGGGCACCGTGGTTAAATAATCTCTCCTCAGTTGGCCTCAGCAAATGCAGAAGTCATTTATTAATACATACAGCCCACAACACTCTCTATATTCCAGGAATGGAGTCCCTGGACATCTGAACATGAAATTCCCTCTGCCTTTATACTGAGTTCTAAGGTCTCTTTTGCAGAAGAAAGGAAATTCTTTCCACTTCAGGTATCCATAAATTCTTACGGCAAGTAGAGCTGCATTTTTAAATGGATGGAAAACTTCATCAGCACTTTGGTACGATGCATCCTAATGGTGGGAGAAGAAAATCCATCTGGCATATTAGGGCCCAATTATTAAGCTCTTCTACAATGTTTATCAACATTAGAGTTGCCAGTAAAAAATGACAGTTTTAAGTGCCAAAATATACAGCGGCTTCAATGCTAATATGCCTTAACATAAATGTCATTTAATAATTTCAGGGAGCACTACAGTGATTACTAGAAATTCATACCAAATTATTTTGATGAATTGGAAGCTATTTAAGTATCCAAAAGCAACTTTTAATATGCTGGGGAGTTACAGGTCACATTTTTAACCTCTCAATGCACTTAACCTCCAAATAGTTGGAACAAATACATAATGCTGAAGCAGCTGCCCATGTAACGATGCCAGGCAAAACCAGACTGGCTGGATGCCTCTTTTATTGCTGTGGGTCCTGGGTTTGCATTGCAGGCACTTGCCAAACTGCTACTTGCAGCCAACAGCAAAGAGACAGACCTGATCTGCAGATTAATGGTCTTTTTTTTTTTTTTCTTGCTGAAGATGGTAGCAAGATTTAACTAGTTATAACCCACCTCATTTGGGGCAGGTCATGTTTTTCCGTCATCTACCCATTGATATCTTGCAACTCTAGGAGCTCAAGAAAACACCCCAGAAAAAACATGGGATATATAAAACTGGCATGGAAAACAATGTCTCCCTGGCCTCCGTGTTGAAGACTTTTCACTTCTGCTCCACGAGAACAAGGTACCCCAGCCTAGTGGTACGAGTTTCCCTAGGACACTTAGGCCTGGAGGTGTCAAAGCCCTGTGGTAGCCAAACAGACTCCTGTCACTCTCAAGTTTTCCTCCTCTCCACAAGCCTCTGGACTAGATTGGTCTTCTCCACTCATCTCATGGGACATATCCTAGGGACACAGTGGAACCTGGAGAGCTTTTTGGTTGTCCTGAAAGTGGACACCGATGTCTGGCAACCAAATGTGCTCTCTGGAGCCCATCAACTCCACTCACACAAACAACAGCTTAAGACACAACATGCCAATATCAACTTGAACTAAGATGTCCAGACTGTAAACTAAATCCCACTTCATTAACAGATTTAAAACCCCCAAGTGCTTTTATCACACCTTGACACAGGAGAATGCAGAGGCTGAAAGCATAAAGGGGTGCTGATAATGATGAAACTAATTAATGAAGAAGAAACCAGATGGCCCTATATGCATTGATCAGCGTGTGATCATTATAGAGGACTAACTCAAGAGGAACGAGGAGAGCATGGAAAAAAAAAAGCCATGAAAGTTGAACTACTAATTTTCTTCATGTTGTTACAAATCATGCTCAGATATTTCCAAGTTCTTTCTTTTACTCAGGAGAAAAACAAAACAAAGCAAAAACAAGAAGCAATTCAGACTGGATTTTAAAGGCACATATTTAGTAATAGCATTTCTGCTCTAGAGAAAAATTATTGAGTAAAAAAAAAAAAACTGAACATCTACGACATAACTCCAGATGTGATTTATTGAAACAAGCCATTCCCTCAAACTGAAAGCACTGGGCAAATGTTTATGGCTAGAAAAAGTGACATACAGCATGTTAAACCATCTGCTTGACTTGTACAATGACAAACGCAGCTCCCTCTAAAGTCTTCCTAAGGAATAAGCCCAATTACTCACAACAAAATAAAATACACAATTGTGCATTCAGACCTTAGTATAGGCCATAGAAATTCATATAATACCGTGATGAAAAGAGGGGAGAGAAAGAGAAAATAATAATAATAAAAAATCTTCCCTTGCAGTTTCTCTCATTTGTGAAAAGGACTCATTTCTTTGGCAAGCTGTATGGCCACGATGAGACTAGAGGCAGCATTGAGCATCTCTAGAAGGAGGTTTCAAGGACAGGTATGAAAGGAGAGAGATACAGCAGTGAAGGAATGGGATGTGCTGAATAAACGTAGCAGAAACACAGTAGAAAACATGCAAGGTCTTTAGAAAAATAAAGAAATTCAGTACAAGATCTTACAGAAGGGGAAGATATTCTGCCAAATCTCAGAGTGTTTTGATGACCCCCCTGTCCCTCACACTATCACAGCCACAAGTATCAAGGTGGACACATCYAGGTGGCTTGGCCAACGTCACTTGTGTCTCACAAGGAGAACAAGGGACGGCTGCCATCAGGTCCATGCCASCTCTCATGCCTTCCCCTCCACTAGAGGCAGCAAATGTGATTTATGGGTCTTCTACACCCTGGAGAACCCAACAGCTTCTTTGACAGGGCCCTTTGGCATCAGTTTTGCTCCCTTCACCCTTCTGACCTTTCAGGCAAGTTGGGGGACTTTGTTCCATTTTTGTAATTTGTAATATTTCTATCACAAATCCCTACAAAGAACAGGGCAGCAAAACAGAGAAGCCCAGAAGACATATAGATATATACTTTTCAAGGAAGAGAAAGGATTAGTAGTTACTAATACCAGCTTAGAAGCCACAAATATTTTTCACAGCATCTTCTGTATGTGAAACAGTTAGTACCCCAGTGACAAATACACATTATAGACACATGTGATGGCACAAAGAGATTTTTGGAAGATAGGGAAGCACACTAATAGCAGTGTTTACCAGAGACTGTCAAAATAGCTCAAACTTTATCTGCTGAAAGAAAACAGCAAGATCTGGAAAATACAGAGCTCTGTTATGAAGAGCAGAGAGGAGGAAATGGAAAAAACCAGTTTGCTTGAGATTCGTGTCGCTTTACAAAGGTTAACAATGGTTAAAATATCATTTCTCATGCYGCTCCTATTATAATACAATATTAATGATGCTGTAACTTTGTCATTTTATCCAACCTTTACTTACTGACATTTTCTTAGCTTAAAATAACAAATTAACGTGCGGCACAATAAAGCCATGGTAATGCACAGCCATGCACCTCACTTCATGCAGCTCCTCTAAATGTGGGGCATTTAGACCGTGCTTGCCCCACCTCTTAAGTTAAACAGAAATTGAACCCAGCAGTCACATTGTGTCCGGTTTCCCACTGTCTCATGAAGCAGCACTGGAATTCTGCAGTGTAACTTGCATCCCAGTGCGCTTTGGAGGGGCTCATTTTACCTAAATCATCACAACGTCAGCACAGGAAGCAAAAAGTGAACTTAAACCTCCTGTTTTCCTACATGGTTTCCCCATAGATGGAAAAACATTCCTGCTGCCAGCACAGAAGAGAGCTATGAGAAATGCTGCTCGCACAATGGCATGTCATACTAAACGTTCCTTTTTGGAAATAAAAGTAAGTCGATTTTTGTGCCTATTGCACCCAAAGAATTGATAGGCATCTCTGTTTTCCAGGACAGAGGTGGTCTATATTTCAAATGTGGTCTTTTTAATGGTCTTTAAGGCTTTGCAGGAAAGCCTTTTCACTGCCCCCTKCTCAGCATGCAAATTTTCAGCTACCTCTTATCTCATTAATGTCACAGGGAGCTATCAGATATTAATTTATTCCTACTCAAACCTTGAAGGCAAGGCTGAAATTATAAACTGTACCTTAAAGCATTAAAAATAGATGGGTTACAACAGTTGCCCCCCATAAACAGCTGCTCTAATATACCAGTCATTGAGTATGTCAGAGCAACTATAAAATAAAATACTGCGAGCAGACCTTTGCAGATCCAGAAACTAAGATGACTATTTTCCGATGTATATACTCACTGCTGCATGCAATAAACTTATCTTTTCCTTTAAACATTGGTTCTGCCCTAATAACATCACGGGAGGAATTGCTGGTGTTGAAGAGTTTCATATTCTCAAATACAGATGATATAGGCCTGGAAAGGACTGATTAATCAGGTGTCAGGTGGAGCTCAGCTCAGCCAAAACAGGGATTAAAARGCAGACAAAGAACCAATGACTTCCCAATTATATTTGGGAATGAAGATATTCAGGAGAAGACCTTGACTGCACTTGATTCAACAAAACTACCCGTTAAGGCTGATCCAGGAGTAAATATTTATTCTCTGTGAATGCAAGAAAGGTGGTAAGTCAAGCCTGGTGCTTACCTGGAGCTGTCTTAAAGCACATGTTATGCTACAAAAACACACACTAAAATAATTTTGGTATAAAATCACTGTTCTGAAAGAYCCAACTGCAGCCCATTTATTTAATTATATTTAGCATGGAACTTCAACCAAGATGTTATATCTAGTGCCTGTTTTAAAATGGGTGTAATATTGCCTACTTTAAAACAGCTTGTAAGATTTGGAGTAAACATACACGCATAATCATCCTGTGGGAGTTCTCCTTATGGAGCAAATACCGTTTTATATTTGTGGAGTATTAACAGCTCCTAAAATAGAGACTGACACATCAGATTATGAAACCTTAAGGAGATGGCCCGCTGGGCTCTGGGGGACTTCGTCTCCCTGTTAGGAATAAACTTTGGGGGAGAATGAAAGAAGAAACAACAAGATATGTTAATGAATATTAAAACTGCTCCTGTTGGGGCTGCTTCTACAGAATCATCAATTTACATCACCAYGAGCAATGACCCTTACCATGGACAGGAGAAAGGTATTTGGCTTCAGCTGTGTTGAAATGAACACTTGTATTTAATTTTATGTATATTCAGCAGTTCATTTTAAATCACTGGTGCTACTGATAGAGTCTTGAATTAGTCCATGGCTAATTTTGTGCAAAATCACTTCCATTTATGCCCGAATATCTGCAGTTTCTCCAGCCATGTTTAACTGGTTTGACATGGTAATTCAACAGATCGCTTCTAGAGCGTTTTGGAAATAACTTCTCMGCTTCAAAAGGCCTTTCCCCTCTTCCTCTAAACTCCTCTTCCCTGCACGAAGAGGACAAGATGCATCTGCAAAGATGTGCAGACAGCTTCCTTAATAGAATTCCTAATGAAATATTTCATAGTAGGGATTTGCATTTGCTAGGCTGTCGTGTAAACAAGACTTTTTTTTTAAATGAAATAACAAATGACTGCATTGAAAAACAAAGATCTTTCCTAAAGAAACAAACATTTAGCTGTCTTAAATGAAAAGTACCTGAAAAATGTCACAAAGAACTGTACCAGGTCCATAAAGTTGCTGTGTTGGGAGAATGCAATCTGCAAGAGAAAAACAAATGCTTTCTATTATGCACCGTAAAACAAGTTTACATTTAAAAATGCATCATTGCTGGGATCAAAAGATTACAATGAAATATGTCTTTACTTAAGTTAATTAACATTTTTGAGCACTTAAAGCAAGTAAATTCCAACTTCACATTRTTTTTGCAACCATACAGTCAAAAAAAAAGCCTAAAACAAGTAACATCCCTCTCTTCCAGCACTGTTCCAAGAATAGTCTGCAAAGAAAAACATCCACAAGCATATGTTAATCACCTTGGAGAAAATATATATATATATATATATTGTTCAAAAAGAATCTGAACATACAACTTTCCAAGAGTTTAAGTGGAACATTTTTAATTAGCATGTACAATCCAAAGTGCATCATTAACAAGTTTACCATGCACACTCCTATTCAAAGCATATTCTGGCATCAAAATCTCCTTGAATAAGCAACTTACACCGAGAGCAGCAAAAAGGCATGAAATACAGAAGATGATAGAGACTGTAAAAACAGCTATGGCATTCATCTTAACTCACTTTCCTGCAATCCCCTCACACTGCAAAGAAAAGGGGAAAAACAACTGAATATTTTGGACAAAATAAAAAACCAGAGGGAAGAAGTGAACAGGAAATTGGGAGGTGGTTAGAGGCAAAAGGAAAGATTAGGGAGCCTGGTTAAAAATAACAAAGCAGAGGCGAGGCAAGCCAAGGGAACGGCAACTCCTGCACTATTAGGAATCAGAAGTTCTTTCCAGGTACCTCCTATTTCCTCTGACTATCAATCTCGGCCCCAAAGCAGGAAATTAACTCTTTCGTGAAGTATCTGGACTTCTTTCAAGCCCAAACTGGAACGTGCACTTTTGCTGCAACAGCTCTGAACGTGAATTAAATTCACTCGAGGCATCGCTTGCATTTCTCTCAATAAACTGCATTTACAATCGCGTGAGCCTAAAGGAAAATCTCTTGTTCAAACTCTCCTCCCAATTCCCACAGTTCAAAAACCCTGAATCTCTGCAAAATGAGGTAGGGCTTGGATTTCCCATGTCCACCAACACCTTCCTTCAGCACGTTTGCTTTAAATGCCCAGCGCAGCTTGATATAGAAGGGGACCAAAAAGCATTTTCTTATGAACAGGCTGAAACACTCTTAAGTTGAAATCTCCTTTAGGCTACACACCAGACTCCTTGTGTTTGGCTGGAAAGCTTCCTTGCAACCTGCAGACCATATGCTCGTGATCTCTCCACACTACTGGCTACAAATGACAAGATGCATAGTTTCGGGCTGATTTTTTCCACATAAAATGCTCCTAAGTAGCTTTGGTATTTAAAAGAAAAAAAGAGAGCAAGCAAGACTGCGTATTTTAAAACTTGGTGGATGATAACTGAGGTGGGGAGAATGSATTTATATTTTTGGGGCATTTCTTTAAGGAAAGGGTTTTCCTACCAAAATATTACAGCCGAAAATACAGGTATGCAGTACTTCCAGAATAYAGAAAGAGGGTCTGAGAATACCTATGACGCTGGTATCATATATTCAAATATCCTTTTATAGAAAGAGAAATTTGAAACATGCATGTTCTCTGAAGAGCACCATTAGGACCTGTGGGTGTGACAGAAAGCAAAACTTGCTCCAACTAGAAGGCAGAGAAGAAACAAGTATCTGCTAATTTTGAGGCAAGGCAGATTCTACCAAGACTCAAAACGCTCATGTGCAATTCAAATAAAATTATGTTACATTATGMGAGTGTGAACCACTCTCTAAACGGTTACGAGAAGGAGCTGAGGAATTTGTATTGCATACACAGGGAAAAAGCTGAAGTTGGGTTTTGCAATTTACTTCACACAAGCCGAGAACACTTCATGCTATTAAACTTGACCCATGTGTGTCACAGGCAATTTAGTATCATAATTGTTAATGGTTTGCTTACTTAAAGCTTAATTACTTCTAATATGATCTATTCCTTGGATTAATTCAGCTACATAGAAAGTTCGATTAGAAGCAGCAGTTAAAACTGGAACATTTGTTTTAAATACACGGAAAACACGGTAGAAATTTCTTAGGGAGCACAGATTTTCAACCATGTTTAAATCATAGCAGAAAAATTTACACATCCTAAAAAAAAAAAATGTTAATTTTGTGCCACAGGACAAAGCAATGCAGCTGTAGGAATATGCTGGGCATCTCTTGCAAGGATGCCCTCTTGCAAGGAACACCAAACTGTACCTGCTTCCTCCACAATGTCCTTCAAAGATGTTTTATTCTAGCTTCTTAGATATAACAGTGTTGTTAAATAACTAAGATGTAAAGAGAGCARATAATGATGTTATTTTAAGAGACTACTGTAAAGCTTAGGTTTATCTGATCTGAAAGGATAGCTGAGAAACACAAGGCTCCAGCTTCTACAAAGGTTACATCATTGGCAGTACCTAACAAATTTGGCTACTTTCCAAGTATATAAATCTTTTTTCTTTTAGAAAAGAAATTCTTTCCAAGAATAAAAGAAAACAGCTAGACATATGAATGGATAAAAATAATATATTACAAGTTTTAATTTCTTTTGTTAATTGAGGAACATAAATATTAGGGCAAAAAAGAAGAAAATAAGGCTGTTCTACAAAATGAAACCTGCATTAGCTTTGAAACTATTGCAAACTCCTTTCAAAAACATTTAAACAAAGCGTAAAGGAAAAGTAAATTGAACCCAACTGGCTTTTCCAATAACAACCTGTATTTTCAAACTAAAAATACTTCTGGAGCTCAAGTGAAGCTTGTGACTGATACGAGTTTGACTAACAAGCCGAGATGATTACACCCCATCCATTGGTTTGCATGAGGACAAGGATGAGTGTTGCAGGAGAGAAGAAACCTGAGAATCATTTCATGAGAATAATTTTGTGCAAAATACAGGGTCCAGCTGACTCAGGCAACTTCCTATTTTGAAACAAACTCACCTCAAGCCTGTCAGTGCAATTATAGCTAAACATATTTATGCTTCTCTTCCCCATTTGATTTAGGAGTCCTCTGGATTCATTAGCAGTACTTGCATTTTGCAGACTGCTAAGAAAAAATGAATGTCAACACACTAATGAGAATTTACATTTTTTTCCAGTAAGTTAAATACAGCAAGAAACAAATTTAAGGACTGTTCTCACATACCTTTAACAAACGGAATTATAGATAGATCAACACAACAGAGCTCCTGCCTCTTTTGCTGGAAGTTACTGCTGCTTTTACGCTGCTAGGAGCCAAACCAGTAAGATGCCACAAACAAGAGATGGGGCAAACCTCTCCCTGCCCTAAATAACGACTTACAAACAACTCTTTCAGATTGGGAATACTAATATTAAAAATATCCTGATTGCTAAAGAACATTATCTGGAGCATTCCCAGGACCTGCTTGGTTGGGAAGACCTCACTGAACATAGGAATCATCTTTCTTTTGCCAATGATTCAGGACTATTTACATGCTAGATTTTTAGCCCTCTCCACTATTTTACAGCCAGTTTGCATCAATGCTGCCTTTCTTTTCCAGCCTCTACCTGTAGCTGAGAAAAAGTGAGCCTGGAAATGCTATTTTCCAGAGGACACCCTCCCAGAGAATGATTTCCAAAGGAGGTAAAAAGAAAGCCTAATTAAACTTCAGAAAGCAGATAATGACAGCAGAGAAGACGTAACATGAGGTCGGCTCCTGGGGTTTGACGCTCGCTGTGAGCTCAGAAGACTTCACGGGGGTCCCCACTGCTAGATCCATTAACCCACCCTGGTAGCGGGGGCAATGCTAGAGGCCTGGTGTTTTACGAGCCCACAGGGCCACAGAGCACTCTGAAAAACGTGGAAGTGCGAAGATTTGGGGCTGAGTTGCTTTCTGTTTAAACATAGCCCCAAAGTTAACGAACTCACACATCTATTTAAACGTAGCTCCAAAGTTAACGAACAGAAGAGTACCACGTAAGACTGGAAGCTCTAAGGATTTCCAGAGAGATAAAATCAGCCAAACAAGCTGTCAATGACATTTACATGCATCTTCCTCTTTATTTCTTCCTCAACACCTCCATTTTCTCCTCTTCCTTTCTTTTTTTTTTCCCCCACAGTTAGAGGCAAGAACTCAATTTGACCTTGGAGAATACAGCAAATAGTAAGAGGAAGCCGTGACCAGAATTGCAAGTGCCTCTGTTTCTTGTCAGAGGACCAGCTGAAAAACAAATGGGTCTTAAGTATTCTTGAGTGATGCCAAAGTCATCAAAACATTAATTTTGCCCTCTACACTAATGATGGAGGGAAAGGARCACTTTTCTACTCAAGAGAAACATCATTACTGGTTGTAATTCGCCATTAAATACAAATACAGTGTGCCCTTAATGCAACCCATGGCACAAAACACATATTACTCTTGGTCTTCTCAACTGGAGGAGCGAGCCAACTCCAACAGCTTGGTGGTGAGGTCGAGCCCATCTCACAACTCAGCTCTGCCATATCACAGAATCACAGAAAATTCAAGGTTGGAAGGGACCTCTAGAGATCATCTAGTCCAACCTTCCYGCTCAAGTAGGGACACCCAGAGCATGTGGCACAGGGTGGCATCCAGGCAGGTTCTGAAGACCTCCAGAGAAGGAGACTCCACARCCTCCCTGGGCAGCCTGTTCCACTGCTCTGTCACCCTCACAGTAAAGTTCCTCCTCACCTGGAGACGGAATATGCTGCCACTGCTTCACTTACTCTGGCTTTGGTGCTCAGCAGATGCCTCTAACGAGATAAGGAGACTCATTAAATTGGTGCAGCGCTCACCTGAGGGATGAGGCAGACACAGAAACAACACAAGGGAGAAGTAAACATCCTCCCTTTAGGGAGTCTAGAGAGCGATTCAGTAGGTCAATGTGGGTATCAATGAATCAACTGAGTAGTTGAAGATCTCACGATGACATCTCCAACTAAAATGGGAGCTTAAACACCTAAGGCACATAGTAAAGGCTCTGGAATTTAGGTGGCTTCATTTG